TAATTAATTTATTTTAATGATGCAATGTGTGTTTTTTATTTTCAATTTATTTCATTTTATGCGAATGCAAATTGTCGATCTTCATTTATATTCAATTCATATTTTTTTAATCAATGAGGACGAAATATTCTTTAACAATGAAAAATAGTTGAAATAGCTTTCCCAACGTAGGATTGTTAATTTCAAGAATTTTTATCAAGTTAAAGGATTTTTTTCAATTAATTAATTTTGAAGTAAATTAATTATATTTCAATAAATGGATCGTAATTTAACTTTATATTTGATTTGTAATTTCCACCATTACGACAACGTATAAGAGACACAGTACTAGTTTTTGGGCGTTGTGGGGGTGTTAATCCTTCCCCACACGTAATCGGCTCTCGAACCCGTTTTAATACGATTTCTGGTAAACGCATACCATTTTTGTCTTAAAAATGATTTTTTCTTAAAATTATTTTAAAAAAGATGTTTTTAGGTATTCGGCCTACCTAACCCAAAGGTCGATGGAGACTCCTTTTAATTTAATTCCAATTAATCCAAAATCACTCAATTTTTCCAAATAAAAGTCATTATCGTTTTTTTAAAATAATATTTTATTGTTTTAAAAAAATAATTATGACACTTCGAACCTAAAACATATTTCCACTAATAATGTGCCAAATAATCCTCTATACTATCAATGGCAGATCTACATTTGTCTAACTTAAAATCTGAATTTTCTTCTGATAATATATTTTATTAATTGTGTCCACCATCAAATTTTATTTTCCCGTATACAAAAATTATATGTTGTTAAATATTCATGTGTTCACCCTAAAAAATATTTTTGAAATCGTTACTATGTAATATACTATTTTAATTATAAATAATAAAATATTTTATTTATAAAACAATTATGTGATACACTAATAATAAAATGTGTTTTAAGGATAACAAGTATGCTTATTATCAAAGAATAATCCATTTAAAAATTAATAAAATACTTAACATTAATTTAGTATGCTTGTATTTTTTTACTATTAACAATACACTTAATAATAATCTAAATTATAATAAATAAAAACACGTAAACATGATACGAAAATAGTGCAAAGCTAATGAGACATAAATAATGCGATATTGCGGAACACCACTCCAATCCTAATGTTCCACTTCCCCGTTTTCCTACCTTATCGGCTTATCATGTTTTCGTGCTACATTGCAAATTCCCATTCGGTTCTTTTGAGAGTAAATCACTAATTAATTAATTAATTAATTGCATAATAATAATAATAATAATAAGTTGATGTTCTTTCCCTTTAACTTTTTGGAACAAAATGTTGATTCATTAAAAACAACCAATTAAGCACCTTTCACTTACAAAACAGAAATCAACCCATCATTGTATGGGGAATGCTACGATAAGTTTAAGAGTCTAATTTTGAGTTTCATCACATATGTGTGAATGGTATATATATAAATTGTAAATATAATAAATTAGATTACTTCTTATAATATGTTTTTATAGTACGTGATTTGAATTGATCTATTAATGAATTAAATATCAATAATAATAATAATAATAATATATGTGTTTGAATTTAATTTAATGTTGATTTAAATTTTATTATGTGTGACTATTATTTAAATTTAATTTTAATTCATATATATTTAAATGTGATTATAAATTATAATTGTGAGTTTTAATGATAATTATTTAAATTATATTAATTATAATTCTAATTATAATAATTTTTTAGCATTCAATTTAAAGTACAAATGTATATATTATTTAGATATCTCCTCACTTATAAAAAATAACATATTAAAGTCTTAAACTTACCTCCAGTGACGGATCCACCTTTAATTAAAGATGAGTAAGAAAATCTGTTTATTAATTAATTAATTAATTATTTTATTAATTATTCCCACCTAAAAAATTTATTTGTGTTTACTTCGTACAAAATTTTTATGTTATTAATGTATGTATGTCTATCCTCAAAAATATTTTTTGATCCACCACAGTCTATATCCTCTCTTTATTATACTAACAAAATATTAATAAAATTAAATTCAATGGATTGATTATACTAATTTTTATAAGGGTAAGTACACAAATAGTCCCTCGGCTATAAGGTGATGCTTTGTTGAGTCATTGACTATTAAAAGTTAGAAAATGATCCTTTGACTATAGGGTGTTGCTTAGGAATGGCAGAACGACCCGAACCCGACGGGAAAACCCAAAACCCGGCTAAGTTCGGGTCGGGTTTGAATAATATTGGGTCCAGTATTAGGGTAAAATTCGGGGATTTTTTCGGTTTCGGGTTCGGGTTCGGGGCAAGGTATCCCCGCCCTGCCCCGATTATATATATATATAATATTTTATATTTTTATATTAATTATATAATACAAACCCTAAACCCTAGCTTTTATAATTATTAAAGTAAAGTTTGGTTGATTTATTGATAAATTTCTCAATGTATGGAGCTACCAAAGAAAGTGACAGAAGTGGCACGACGATTTTGGACGACTTTATTTAACTTAATATTACGTATGCATCTTCATTGTATGATTTGAATATCGGAACAAGTTTGTATTTAGTTATATATGTGTTTTATTTTGGAGTTTAGACAATTATTTAAACTTGTGTTTGAATTTGTGACTGTAGATTGAATTGTAAATCATGTAGACTAATTTTCTAGTTTTTTGTGATCGTTTTTCTATTTTTTATGAAAACTACGACTACTCGGTTTTTCTCGGGATCGGGTCGGGCTCGGGTATAATATTTCGGGTCGGGTTCGGGGACGGAGCAAAAAAAATCCCCGACTGGGAACGAGGTGGGGACGGGGGAGCAAAACCCGCCCGAAACCCGCCCCTTTGCCATTCCTAGTGTTACTTTGTTGAGTTCGTCGACGATTGGAAGTTACAAAATGGTCACTTTAATATTTAGTATGTTCCAAACTTGTCTTTTTCGTTAAAAAGTTGAAAACAATATGAGTTGTTGAAAACAATATGAGTTGTTGAAAACATGAGCTAGATGTTAACCCGTTACTAAGATATGATAGTTTTTTTCAGATTATGGGATTGAATTTTATCATATCTCAGTCATCAGATTAACATCCAGCTCAGATTTCCGTCGATTTCTTAACGAGAAAGGAATATTTTGGAACAGACTAAATAGTCGGGTGACCATTTTGTAACTTTTAACAATCGAAGGACTGAACAAGCAACACCCTATAGAAAAAAGACCATTGTATAACTTTTAATAGTCAAATAACTTAACAAAACATCACCTTATAATCGAAGACATTTGTTTACTTTACCCTTTTTATAATTAAATACATAACTCTTTCAAAAATAGAAACCACTAATAAACAACTTTGTAACCAATCTTTAACCATGAATATATATATTAAGAGAGAAATGTACGTGTTGCATATAAAACAAGTCAAAATTAAAGTGCATATAATAATATCCTAAATTTTAGGATAACATTAAATTATGTAAAATGTAAGAAGAGTTGCCACGACTCTCTCTCTCTCTCTCTCCCCCCCCCCCCACCCACCACTCTTAAAGTAAGGATTAAGAGTCGACGAGAATATTTAATTTTAATTTTTTTGATAAAACTATATAAAATTTCCAAGAAACCTAATCGTAAACAAAAATGTATAGAAAAATAGCAAAATTAGTGAGTGCCATATTCCACTGTCTTATCGTCAGCTATTAAATAAGAAAAAGGAGAATATGAGTGGCACTTGCATTTTCCCACTTGGTTATTTAAATAGAAGGCAGAGATAAGATGTGCCTTTTGTTTTCTTCACTAAAAGTAACACTACTAATATCAATTTCAGGATAAGAATCACTAACCCCAAGCAATAATTATTGCCTAATTGATCTTCAACTTCAGCTTCTTTAATTTGGTGGATAAACTATACATACGACTACTTAATTATTATTTATTATATTTTAACTATTGATATTTTAATTTTTTTTCAATCAGATCATTTAATTATTTAAGTGTTGTCAACTAAACAATTAGTTTTAACATCTAACAGAGGAGTTGATGTGATTGTTAAAAAGATTAGTATAAATACACATTTAATCCTCAATATTATCACATTCTATCGATTATAATTATGACTAGATTGATAAAATATGTAAATTTTGAGGATTAAATGTGTAATTTTACTAATTCTTTTAACAATCACGTTAACTTATTTATTAAATATTAATGATTGATGATTTGATTGATAAAATTAAAAGATTGCTGATAAAAACTAAAAGGAAATTAATTAAATAATCATAGATATAAGTATACTCAAATCATAGGCAAGCCTGGTTTTATTGCATTTCTCTTATGCCAAGACTTTACTTTTTTGTTTCTTTATTATATAAATTTGGTATTCTGATTAAATCAATAACAGTCATTAAATAATTGAAATAGAGTTAATTGCATTATATGTCTTCAAACTATAATTCTCATTTTAAATTAATAATTAAATATTTAAATATTTTAATTTCATCTCCAAACTATGGCTCTCATTCTAAATTAGTCCTTAAAGTTTTGAACATTCTAATTTCATCCCTAAACTATGACCCTCTTTCTAAATTGATCTTCAAACTTTTAAATATTTGAATTTCATCTCCAATTTCATCCAAATATATAATTAGCTCAACTATAGTTTAACCTAAATTATGTTTTCTTCAAACATATAAAAATATAACTTGACCTAACGATTTTATTTACAAGCGATGTTTAGTATATACATATAGTTTGGAATGAATTGGAATGTTTAAAAAGTTTGGGGACCAATTTAAAAAAAGGTTATAGTTTGGGATGAAATTGAAATGTTCAAAAGTTTGAGAATTAATTTAGAATGATAATCATAATTTAGGGATGATATTAGAATATTTAAAAGTTTAGAGACCAATTTAAAATGAAGATCATACTTTAAGTACATGTGCTACAATTATCTCTAAAATAATAATGAAGAGAAATGTAATTATTTAATTATGAAATTACAGTAAAATTTCTTTTATTATTTTTAGGGAGGGTTTAAAAAAGCCTTTGAAACAGAAGCATGATTTTCAAATGAAACCAGTTTGTTCTCCATTATCTTCTTTATCCAACCCATCCATCATGTAATATTCGAACTTTTCAACTACACACTCCGGCACTGATACTTGCACTCTCACCGCATCAAAGTTACCGACGACTGGTAAAAACAAGCAGTAAATATCGCTTGTCAAGGGTCCCATATGCAGGGGCTTACCTTCCCCAAAATCCAAATCCTCTAATCCCAGCTTAGCCCATTGAGAAATCACGAAGCTGGAACAAGTATCCGTTATCACATTTTTATCCTCCAACAAATCAATCAGTGACCTCACGTACCCGTCATTTAAACCCGATTTAGCTCGTTGGATTAAGTTTATCCCGTGGTGTAAATTCGCGGTCACCAAGTCTTTTACCGCCGTCTCGGCGCAACCCAGAACAAATCCGTTCCCGTAATACCCGTCCGGCAATTCCGGGATTAACTTCTTTCTAACGTTGACGGAAAACAGGAGCTTGACCTTGAGCGACGACGGCGAAAGGTCAAGGGACCGAACCCACGACCGCCACGTGTGCGAGGACAATGCCTCGAAGGTAGTGCATTTGAGGGACGGGACGCACTGCCGTTTGAGGCGGAGGACGTGGAGTGGGGTGAAGGTAAAAGACGTGGGCACCAGTGGCTGGGACTGTAAATACTGGTTGATGTCCACGTGGGTATAGTTATCTTTGAGGGTAGTTTTGGTATATCCCAGGTGGGTGTGGGTTATTTGAGGAGGATTTCGGGGTTTCAACACGTGGCGAGAGTTGAAGGGTAAGACGGTAATATCGATTTTAGGTTTGGTGATTACGTGCGCCCACGCGTGCAGGAACTGGGATGTGCCTATGCCATCACATATACAATGATTTATCGCGGTGCAGAGGATCATACCTCCACAGGATAGATTCGTCACCTGCACCGTTTTAAAAAAAATAATAAATAAATAAATTTATAATTATTGAATATAACTGTAAATGAGACGAGATAAATCGTGAGTTATTCGAGATCGATTCGATTAAGACTCAATAAATACTCGAATTAAATAAATTCTACTCGAGTTCGAACTCGACTCGAATTTTTAACGAGTCAAAACGAACTACTTAATACTCTACTCAAAAAGATCATGAGAAATTCGAAAATATAATATATTAAAATTTTATTTTTTAAAAAATAAATTATTAATAATATTAACTTTCATGTGTTGATTTTTTTTAAAAATACAGTAAGATTTTCATATATTTAATATTTATGTTCGAGTTTGAGACTTCAATCTAGTTAAGTTTAAGATTTTTTTATTTCGAGTCTTTTCGAGTTACTCCCGAACTTCAATTCAAGATTTCGAGTTCGAGTCGAATTTAAAAATTTTAAACTTGTGAATTTTTGAATCGAATCGAATTGCATTTCAGAATTTTTGAGTTTAACTCAACGATACTCAAACTCGATTCGACTCGTTTACACTCAAATTCCTGAAGGATCAAAACTAAAATCTAACAATAAAAAGAAAAAACTTTAAATAATATTTTTATCTAACAAAAAAGAAAGATGAATGAATGAAATATTTATGATTTTTCTAAATAAAACTCCAATAATCTAATAAAACATTAACTAACAACATTATAAAATATAGAAAGGTCAAATTAAACTATGATGATTAAATACTGAGTTTTAATATAGTAAAAGGATCAAAATTATAATTTGACAGTTTTTTTAATCTCTTTAAAGTAAAGTTACATCTGTACGGATATTGAGGATACCTGAACAACAAGGGGAGGGATCTGGAGGAATGAGTGAACTTCAACCTTGTAAAGAAGCTTCCTCCAAGACCTGTTTGGTTTCCTGGAAAACTGAAGAAACTCATCACAAGTGATATCCATGAAAGCGTCGGCAAAAACAGCACCTTCGGCATTGCAGTCAATCTGGAGCTTGTGATCGTCGAGGCTGCAAGTTGTCAACCTCCCAGCTAAAGGGTAGTAATGAACGAGAACTTTGGAGAGGGAATATTTCAAGATATCTAGGGCAACAGCTTTCCTGAAAAGGTATAGATATTTAATGGAGAATCTAAGGAACTTTTGATCATCGAGGTTGGAGAGATACAAGGAATGGTTAGGGGTAGGGGCGTTTGGACAGATTAAGGTTGGCTTGTTTTGGTAAAAGCAATCTGGGAGTTCTTGAGATCTTAACATGTCTCTTTCTTTCTTTCTTTCTTGTTTGTTACGTTTGCAGGAAAGAAGGGAGAGAGATGATAAAAAGAAGGGGAGATAAAAGCAGTAGGGTAGGCGAAGATCATGGGTGGATATGGTGACAGTACGATCAGATTCCTTTAGGGGAGGGCTGTGTGGGAAGAGAGGGATCTAAAGAAAGATAATATAAGATTAAAAGAATACGTAATAAAAAATATAAATTTTATTTTAATAATTTTAGTAAAATATTACATAAAATGTTAATTTTATTATTTAAAATATTAATGTTTTTAACGTTTTTAGTTACAATCAAAAATGTTTTCTCTATAACATTTTATGTTGAAATTGAAAATGTTAAAACCATTAACATTTTAAGTAACGAAATTAACATTTTAAATAACACTACACTAAAAATATTAAAACAAAATTAATATCTTCAATTACATCTTTATTTATCATTATATTAAACTAACGTACAATAAAGCTATCCGTGAGAGAAAGCAAATGTCTACTTATAAAAAGCTCAAAACTATAATTTCGTTTTTATTTTATACTCCCTTCCTACCTTTTTCTCATAGTATTAAGTAATTTTAAAAGGTGATTTTTTCGATATATCACCGTTAAACAGTATATTTCTCGATCAGATACTGTTCAGACTATATTTCTCGATCTAACACCCTTTGCAGAAAGGCACGGCCCCTGTAACGCGCTTTACGCTGATTTGATGTCACGTGGGGTAAGACGCCCCCCTAAAACGTACCTTATGCTGACATGGTATACACGTGTGTACAGGGGTATAGCGCGGTGCAGGGGCCGCGCCTTACCCCAGAATCTGTCACGCGTCAGTAAGGCGCGCCCCCTGCGGGCGCCTTGGGTATAATTACCCACCTATCCCAACGTTTCACACCCAATCCCTCCCTATAAATACCCTCATCCTCAATCACTTTCATTACACCAAATTTTCTCAACTTCTCTCAAATACTCTTATAATATCTGTATAAGGTATATTTTATTATATTTTTAATATTTTGTATTTAATTTATTTAAGTATTTAATTTATTTAATTAATTTTTTTGCAGATATAAAATGAAAGATGGTTACTTCGCTTGGATGGAAATCATATATCTCGACACTTTGCTGATACGATAACATTTTAACGTTTTAATTTAATTTAAATTATTAGTAATTATTTGTTGATTTATTTAATGCATGATTATTAGATTAAGAATTAATTTTTGTAATTATTTAATTTTAGGAGAATGATCGTGTATTAGATCCATTTATTAGGAATCTTAAGTTAGTGATACCTAGCCGTGTCTTGCCGTATTTAGTAGAGGTTGGATTCAGTTACATAGGTAGATACCAAGGTCACTGTAAGATAGAACCAGACCTTATTTCTACCTTAGTAGAGCGGTGGAGGCCGGAGACCCGCACATTCCATCTTCCGTGCGGAGAGTGCACGATTACACTTGAGGATGTTACTATGCACCTAGGGCTTCTGGTGGATGGAGATGTGATAACAGGGATCACGCAGGGTTCTTGGACTGCTTTGTGTCGGGATAATCTAAGACGTGTCCCGGAAAGTTTTAACGGTGGTCGGATACCGTTAAATTGGTTAGATGCCAATTTTCGGGAGTTGAGCGAGGACTCGTCAGATGATGAAGTTTAAATGTATGCATGGGCATGCATACTGCAGCTTATAGGAGAGTTGTTGATGCTGGAAAAATCGCGCAACCAAGTTCACTGTATGTGGTTGCGACATCTTGTCGAGTTTCGGCTGGCCAGATCACTCAGTTGGGGCTCGACAGTTTTGGCTTTATTGTACAGTGAGATGTGTCGAGCCACTGACTACAGGAGAAATGCTATCGGCGGATGTGTCCTCTTGCTGCAGTCTTGGGCATGATATCGATTGCCCTTTTTATGTCCCGTTGTGAAGAACTCATTCGTATTTCCGCTACTCTTGAGGTAATTATAAAACTGATTTCGTATATTAATCATTTTATATAGCGTATAATAATTTTTTTTCTTGAATAAGTGGTCTACTGATAGGAAAAATCATCAGAAGCTACCTGATGATTTAGAAAAAATTAAGATGCTCATCGATCAGAAGGCTGACACACAGGTATGAATTTAAATGTTTAAAAATTGATTTTAGATTATAGTTATATAATTAGATTATTATTTTGATAAAAATTATATATATTTGTTTTAGTTTGAATGGGTGCCATATTCTAATGATAATGTGAGGACAGTGATCCCACTTGAGTTGAGGGGCCTATCAGATATTTGGATGGCGATGATCCCTTTGATATGTTATGCGACTGTTGAGTGGCACTCCACTGATCGTGTACTCCGACAATTTGGTTGTTTTTAACCAATTTCGGAAGCACCTCACAATATGGACGACTTGCATGCCATAGATAGACGCGGCAAGACCGATACAGATTGGCTGGTGCGGCATCATGAGTGGGTCATGTTGTGGGAGGATCGACATCGGCATCTTCCCCGTAGAGAGCCCATTTATGTTGATGACTTGACGGTTGGTGTTGATTATTATGAGTGGTTCAGTAGAAACGGGAAACCGTTTCTGCTTCCCGATGATGCATGAGGGCAGACATTTCCACGATGTCGACAAAGACATTCACCGACACAGCACCATCGTCCACCGACTCGTGGACGAAGAGCAGGTGTTTCCGATTCATCCTCAGTTACACCAGCAGGACCTTCACAACAGCCACCGTCTACAGCGACTTACATACCGCAACCATATGTTATACCACCACCGTCATTCCCTTACCCGATGCTGCCGCCGCCACCACCACCTTCACATAGTTATATGACCCCTCCTAAATGCTATTATGGGTCTATGTTTGTAGATCCGACTTGGGGTTCATATACTGGATATTTGGCGGATTCAGTCTCATCACCTATGGCCGCAGCACAGACACCTCCTGTACAGTTTTCACACTCAACAATGTCTGGGTTTTATGAGTTTTCCCAGTTTTCGCAGGCCGGTGGGATAGTCAGTCATACACCTCCAGGGTCCTTATTCTATTGGAGGTGCTTCATCGTCATCAGCTCCTCATCAACAAAATTTAGCTGCTCAAGACGACGACGATGACGATGACGACGATGATGATAGTGATGATGATGACAGCGATGAGTCACAACCAGTGATATGAAGAAATCCTTCTCGAGACCGACAACCACCGCCCTGCGGAACACATTCGCGTCGCAAACATCGATAGATTTTATTTTTTTATTATATTTGTATTTAGTACTTTTTATTGTAGTTTTTATTGGACTTTTTTATTGTAATTTTTTTATTATTTATCATTTAATACTTACTTTAATTCGTTAATATGGTTGGATTTATTTTGATAAATTTGTTTACTTTTTGTTAATTTATTTTGCTTAATTTTGTTTATTACCATTTAATATTAGTTATTGTAATTTGGTTATCATTTACCATTTAATACTTATTGTATCATTAATATCAGTTATTTGTTAATATAATGCCAACGTCCAATCTCGTATAATTGTATTGTTTTTTTAATCTTCATCAGCGGTTATCGAATAACATTAACTTGAAGTAAATGAACATTAAAGTACAATAATTATTAATTGATAAACAACTACATCATTTCCTCATCAATTGGTACTTGATGACAACAGAAGTGGACATGTTTTTCTAGTGTGTCATGGGTTTCTACAATGCCCACATCTTCTGTCTTGTCTAGATCTTTCTCGAATATCCATATCGCAATGAATTCGATTAGATTTTGGACGACCACGCTCCCTCAATAAACTCAGATTTGGTACAATCGGAAGCCAATCTTGAACCTCATCAGGGTCTTTGTCATTACCTATGGGGGGAAATCAAATTCGTATACCTTAAAAACTTCAGATAGTAGGTATACGTGATCCACAAAATGGTTATAGTCTTGATGTGTATGCGAGCAAGCTACTATCACATGAGAGCATGGATATTTTAGAGCTTGAAAAAACCCGCAGTCGCACGTTCTATCCCTTAGATTTACTCTTAATGACACAACTTCAATCCCTTGAAGAGGTCGCGACAACTCTGTTACATGAAACATTTCATGCCTTCTAGAGAAACTTGTTACAGACATCCCATTTTATGCAACAATTTTTTATGTAGATCTACAACTAATCTAGGGTGATACACATGACCGCCTTGCATCCATGTTTGAGCTTGTCTCCCGAGCTTCATAAAAAGCGCCCCTAAACGAAAATATATAGTCTTTACCAAAGCCGCTACAGGTAAGTGACGTGCACCCTTTAAGGTTGAATTGATTGCCTCCGCCAAGTTGGTCGTCATGTGTCCATATCGATATCCACCATCATATGCGTTCGTCCACATTTCTTTATCAATGAGGCTGATGTAATCGTATCCTTCCTCGTTCTTCGCTGGCAAATCTTGAAGCATTGATTCAAAGATTCGAGGAAGTAGTTCGTAACCTGATCAAAAAATGTATAATTTACTAACATGATTAAAAGGATCGAAAGAAAACAAACTACATCAGTTTCACTTACCCATGCGCACAAGTAATTGACGCTCATCATTCTTCTTGTATCTTCCATGGTAGTTCGCAGCAATGTGTCAGAGACAATACCTATGTTGGACAAAGGATGGTTGTCACATTGGACCCAAAGAATCTATTGCTGCTTTGATCCCAGCTCCGCGATCTGAAATGACACAGATTTTTTCCCTCGTGATAACATGTGCATGTAAATTTCGGAGGAAAAAAGCCTAAGAATCTGTATCTTCTCCTTCGACAAGAGAAAAAGCAACTGGAAGAATGTTGCGATTGCCATCTTGGACAACTACCAATAATAAAACTTGCTTGTATTTTCCATACAAGAAAGTCCCGTCGATCTGGACCACAGGCTTGTAGTATTTGACAGCATTAACGCACTGTGGGTAAGTCCAAAAAGCCCGGTAGAATTGGCATCGATCGCGGAGAACTCGATCATTATGGTATGCATAAGAGGTTTCGAAGTCCACAATTATCCCAGGATTCAACTTCCGCACCAGCCTAAACCAGCCTGGAAGTTCGTTGTAAGATGCATCCCATTCGCCATGAAGTTTGACAATGGCATTTTGTTT